AGCCAGAGTTAAACCACGACAACTGAGTATCTTAGAGGATTTTTGTCAATGGTATACCAGAACACACTACAAGAACACAGTCAACACATGAAAAATATCTGTCAAGTATTTCTCTCATAATGGAGATAAATCATGCAATTTTTTAGTTTTGCATTTCATAACATGCATATCTAAAGTTTTACTACTGTATCTCCTGCATTATCCAAGGCAGAGTCTAAAGAAGGGCATTTTTACATCTAGAATGAGAGACTAGCATGCTCACTACGTGATAGCTCTTAGTTTCTCTAGCATTCACCACAGGCTTTGAATGACTCCTTACAAAGCATTGCTGTGTCTCCAACAGAAAGCATCTTTCAGCCTCTACCTTTGCCAGTCCTGTTGAAATTGGTCCCACTACTGGAACATCACAGAGTCTTTTCTAATATTGTCGTTTCAAACTATTCAGTACATGGAAGCAGAAGTCTGGCATCTCAAGTGTGACTTGAAATTTTATAGAAAATAAGTACAGCAATACCAGAATATTTGCTGAATTCATATTAACTCATCCTGATGAAAAGAAAGTGTACCAAAACCATTTCTTAAGGGCTGTGCAGATAATGCATCTTCAAGTAATAGTTACTCTCATAACAAGTGAATTAGGGCAAATATATATTTAATATCAAAGACTGCTATTTTTCTTCCCATATAGGTAAAATGCTGTCCTGGAGTGAATGTGTAGCAATGTGTCAGCTAAAAAATTATAAAGAAACTGTTTTTAAGGTCTATCTGCAAGCCACCTAAATGCACTGGTATGCTGAAAAACAACAATGCACTAGCTCTTCGGGACTCTTTTGCAGTTCTCACTATCCAAGAACTGAAACCGTGCCAAAGAAGCAGATATCAGAAAGAGAGCAAAGAGCCAAGGAAATATTCAGCATATTCACATATACAGGAATAATTTAAAAAACCCAACCACAACACACAACAACAAAGCCCACCAAAAAAAAACAGAAAACACAGACCGGGAAAAAACCCAACTAACACAGGATGCTAACTTTATTCCTGCAGAGAAGCTGACAACTGGAAAGAAGAGGCCATCTATGTTGAAATTCTCAAACATTCCTTGAACAGGCTGACCATTTATCCGGAAAGAGATGCTGGGGGCACTCAGGTCTAAACAGCAGCTGATAACATCGTCAGTTCTTAACAGGTGTTGGTTGGGAGAATTTACTGCTCGTGCTACACATCCTGTGAAAGTAAAGGAGACATATTTAGCAAAACTTCTGAAAACCATACAGCTTTTCACAGGAACCCAAAAAAAGAGAAAGAAAACATAGCAGTAGAGCACAAACATGTTAATATACAACTACCTAACCTATAACATCAAGATCTGATTCCAAGGTTGCAATATACTGATATACTCACATAAACAGTCAAAGCTAAGAAAACTAAATTTTATTCCTTACAGTAGAAGAAGTACAAATTGAAAGACAACCATTAGCATCTAATATGGAACCTAATGGTCTTTTCTAAAGAATGCTTCATTATTCAAGATAAGGACAAGTATCATACTTAAATACTTTAGGAAAAGTAAGGTACTTCTTGTTATTCAGGGCCACCATCATGGTAACCTCAAACCTGTATAAGATGGTAGTACTCTGTTTCATAATCAAACTACAGACCAGTATTTTTCTGGCTTCTACAAAGAAAGCAGCAATTTCGAGATATAGATATTCAGTAATATATGTATTTTTCTCAAATAGCTTTTGTATTAATTCTAAAGGATTTTTTTTTTTTTTTTTTTTGCATCAAATTACACTTGCACAGGCACACCTGCTTCCCAAAAGAAATAACCTATATAATACAGAAAAAGTAAATTACGGTTTCTGAAATTTACTGCCATCTACCACAGAAAATTTATGGAAAAGCACCAAAGTTGTATAAAAAATTCTCAACATGTTTTCAAAAAATAACATATGCAATGTCTGCAAGAGATAAACTATAATGCATATTAAGAACAGAGCACTAACTTTTTAACTATGCTGTACAAATTCCGTAAATTTGCATGTTTCAACTAAAAGCACTTCATTTCCAAGAAGATGATGAAGATAGCATGTCTTTAACAGCAGCAAAAATAATTAAAAAAAAATTCTCAGTAATGAAGGTAAATTTTCATAAACACACCACCTCCACCAAGGAAAAATAAAAAACAACACTTCCGATACTCGATATATAGAAAATGACTCCCTGACACTGCCACATAATCCACAGACCATAGGACAGATGCTCTTGTGCAATCTGCCCCTCTTGATAGGGCAGTCCACAGTATTTTGAGGGGGAAAAAAAAAAAATTCAGATGCTCTTGCTGCTTCCATACATCATTTCGAGATAGCACGGCCTTAGCTCAGTTGCAGTAAGAACAATCACTTCCATGAGCAAAGACAGGGGAATGAAATAAAGCAGTCCTAAGGGTCCCTCACAAATTGAGAAACCTATAGGAAACACTGCTGAGAAACAGAGTAGCAGTCAGAGCGTAAGGAATGGCTTGCAAGGAAACTACCTTCTACCAGCTCTGCATCCCCAAACTCACCAAGCCCAGTAGAGAACAGCAGAGGGAGACATCAAAACAGCTGAGTCAGTTTCTAATACATCACACAAAGGGGCAACCATTTAATGGCCGAGGTAACTAAACTCTGAAAGAGCTATCAATGAAGAATGGGTATGTCATCTCCTGAAGGCATACTACTTGGGACTAGATGTCTTCTTAGATGTAGAAATTTAGCCAAATAGAAGTTACTGGGATCAATGCAAGGCTGACTGTTAACAGAAATATGTACTGGCCTTTGATGAACGCACAGTCAGACCAAATGATCTAAGTGCCTTTCTGGTCTTAGGCTTTAAAAAAAAAACCTATGAAATACACTTCTGCATGTTAGAGAAGTAACTGCAGGACTGGGGGCGGGGGGGGAGGGGGAAAAAAAAAAAAGTAAATTAAATGTGATTTTGGTAAAGGCTCCCGGTCCAGAACAGAAACTCAGTGGTAGGAATTATTGTTGCTATTCAATAACGCAGGAAATGCTTCATGCTCAGAAGATTATTTTTTAAATGTCACTGCTGAGACTTACCAAGATGCAGCCTGGGATTGTGGGGAAAAAAAAAAGAAAGGCCATGATTTTCAACATTCAACTACTTAACGTCCTTTCAAGTTTGAGAGGTATGTGTCACATGAGAATGTCAGTAAACACAGAAATCTTTTCCAATCTACTAGCTGCATCCAAAAAAAAAGATTAATATACAAAAATTGCATACAGAAAGGTGGCCTGACTTCTATGACTGGGCTGGATTATTGACTTAAGAACCACAAACAACTGTTCATTTATTCTTTTGTGACATTTCGAATGAAAAAGTTTCCGGGGGTAGAAAAATCATTTTGATTTTCACTAATCTTTTGTTTTTTCTATAAAAGGAACTCTAACTACAAAAGTTGGTTTTCGTTGGCTCATTATTTTCTGGTTCTTCTCAGTCTCGCCTCAGTTCTCTGTCAAACTCAGTTATGACACAACTTTAATGACACCATTAATTATGCATTATTGTTCCAAAGCAATTCTCACTATGCATGAGAAGCAAAGTGGCAGCTTCTTTCCTAAGATGCCACTCCAGTGGGTATGTTATTGCTTAATAATACAATCCATCGCTGTTGTAACTGGAAAAATCTTTTGAAATGTAAAACCAAGTACCAAGCCACAACACCTCAAAACTTCAAAGACTCTGAATGATACATACAGCTGACTCACTAAAATGTCTCTCTTGTCCGCTAAGGAGCTCTAGAAAACTTGCTCATATCTTCATAGTGGCAAGAATTACCAGTCCAATGAGCCTAACCTAGTTTTAAGTCAGTTCTACAGTTCATCACTGCTCAATAACATCTCAAACTCAGAGGAAAAACTTTTTCTTTACAAGGTGAAACCACAACAGAAGTTTTTTTTCAAGAAGTTTAGTACCATCCAAGTGTAGGACTACCCATTCCAAATGATATCTGGGAATCTTCTCACAAGAGATAAGTTATGTGAAGAAGATTAAGAAAAAGAAAACAAGCTTGCTTGCTTATTATTATGCTTTTGCTGAGCTAACCCAGTTTGAAGATAGAATAAGATTATTTGCAGAATCTACAGTAAGCACAAGTACTTTATATAATTACTTCAGCTTCTTTTAATACTAGAATTTGCATATAGACATTATCAATAATGAATAGATCCAAGCTGGGCTCACAACATTTTAAAGATGAATATGTGACCAAACACATTGTATGCAAGCTAGGACGATTCTGCATGTCTTACAATAAACAGTCTCAGTCTCAAAGTATGCCAATAAAACATCTCTACAGAAAAATATCTGGTCTTAAAATACATGGAAAAATGTATACTTAAAAATGTTCTTCATCTCTAAAGTATTTCTAAACTTCTAAGCTAAACGTACATATTAAAAATCTGTTTTGGATTTTTTAAAGAAAAGAGTCCTGTGAATTAAATCTCTCAGGCTAGTCTTACACTATACACAGGAATTAAAAATCCAGACAACCGTTTGTTAGACTTCATTTTTCTGCACCTTTGAAGTTTTAAATAAAATATTTATAGTTACTATAAAAATAATCCCCTGGCTAAAAAAAAAAAAAAGTATTATTCTGTCTGAATTACTTTGTATAAAACAATATTTTTCAATATGTGATGTTAAAACATATTCTGCTCTAGCGTACTGTTCCTGTATATTCCTAGTGTCAACTCAAACATCTGATTCACTTTGCTGTTGTTGAAAACAAACTCACTGGAACTGCAAACAAGGTTCTAGTACTTAAAAAAAAAAAAAAAAAAAAAAAAAAAAAAAACCCAAAACCAAAAAAAAAAACACCAAACACAAAACACCACAGACACCAAGAATAAAACCCAACCAAACAGAAAAGGATAATACCTGACCACAGATGCAGACCATCGAAGCCATAGGAGTACAAGTCATCACCAACCCCATTTCCTCCCCATTCTGCTCCTCCCCCTGGATACGGTGAGTAGCCCTCTGTTGAAGCCCAGCCCACTCGTAGATGAGTTGATTCAGCTGTCACAAACTGCTCTAGTTGGTCCACCATAAGTTCATAGTACCATTTTCTGTATTGGGCAGAGCCTTCACTAATCCCCAAGAAGATGTTGGGTCTCATGCTTAAACAAAAAGAATGAAAGTGGTTATTAAAAACTTATCTCAATAACATGATGAACTACTTCAGATCTTTCATTAAAGTCAAATTTCATACTTCTTGTGTGTGGCTAAAACAACAGAAGTAATTTTATTTATTTACTTATTTATTCTGGTGAAAATACTCTAAACAACCAAAGAAAAAAGTGTTTCAGTAACTGTTTTCAATGTTTCATTGGTCTTTTTGACTTTTGAAAAAAAAAAAAATTTTTTTTTTCCTTATAACTGCAAGAATGAGAATATTCTCTTTCACAACATTCTAAGGCATAGCAAAAACATGTAACTGCATTTGTTTTCTACAGCCATACTGGGGAAAGACAGCTCTCCCTTCCCTGTACGAGACCCAAAGTCAGCTCAGAATTCAGTCAGTACCCACACGTTTAGAATTTCTTCCCGTGCATTTTTAACAGAAGATTTCATTAGTGATTTTAGCTTTTCTATTCTGTTATATATATGTTGGTGTGTTACTGGATGTGTTGGGGGAAGTCAAGTCATGTGTGGTTATGAAAAATATGAGTGAATGTATTAGCTCTAACACTATCAAGTTAATTTCACCTTTAGATTTGAATTTGTATTTGCTTGAAGAGGCCTCCCTATGACATACAGTTGTGGAATTTTTATGTTTTTCAGCATCTAATAAATCCTACGAATCCTCGATTGCAAATATTATTTCTATGCTTCAACTTTCATTCTCACTTAAGACTTTTTCAAATAGACATAAGTTTAAGATAGAGGAAGAAATGACAAATCTTCACTTAAAGCCACATTCTTCTGCCTCACCATAAATTTAAACTCCAGATAAACATCTACTTTGTAAATATTACTTTGCTAGTTTAAGATGTTACTTATTTCCTCGTGTTACTAATGTCTGCTGGAAAGTAGCTTCTACAACTCTGACAGTGGAAGGAATGGTGAGGGCACTCCCGCACCCTGGCTGACAATATTTTGAAAGCAGAGCTAAATCTAGACAGCAATCCTTAGAAGAGACTCCACTTTCATAGACTTAAGGCAGTTTAGAGAAGCTTTAGCTTGCAGCAGCTCTCTCTGACCCATATTTTGACTCTAATCAATATTGCAAAGAATATTTAAAAGACTATTAAGAATAAAACACCTTACCAAAAATTTTGGAAATAAAACAGGTTTTCTGTAGTGACTATTTCTTTTATTGAAATGTTTTATTCTGCTTTGTTCATAGGTACAGATTTTTTATTTTTCTCTTTACCTGCTCACGTGATTGACAAGGCGTGTCTGTAAAAGCAGATCTCTTCCTGGCAGAAGATTATCACAGATTAGATGTTGATTAGACCGTACAGCTACTCCATGACAAACACAGAGAGAACACAAAACATCCAAAACCTGAAAGAGAATAGGTTCTTTTCATCTTAAATATTTCTTCATGCTGAAGAGTTCATAATCACTGAAAGTAACTTCTGGCAATATAATGCTATGTAACTTGTTACTGGAAGACATGTAAGGGTATGCAATTCATCCAACATCGTAGTTTTATTTCACAACAGTTCTGAAATTCACCTAACAATATTAAGATATATTCCATCTGTTTCCCTTGAGATTTAGTGTGTATCAATGCTTTAATCAAAAAGAAGATAACGTCCCCCTTTGCATCTTCAAACTGCTCATATGCCTTCCAGAAAAATGTTCATTTCTAGTTATGGTTAAAAGTATTAAAGTATTTGAAATCTAACTTTGACACAGAACAACATGGCTTGCTTTGCTCACAAATGTTTACCTAAATATACATCTCTATTCTTTGCCTACCTTATGGTTTCTTCCATGTTTGTCCAAAAGACAGATGATGGATTTAATATGTCCTTCCTTAATAATGTTTAGAGCTTCTGGGCTTTCCACCAACACACAGTGTAAAACTTCTAGAATTCCTGGAAGGGGGGAAAGAAAAGTTGTATATTCAAAGTGCATATGAAGTCATAACTGCGCATAATACTTCCTAATACACTGCTCAGCAATATGGAATAGTTTCAAAAATCATTGTATATGATAATCAACTCCAGAACAGGATTGATGTTGCACTTCTAGGTTTCCCAAAGTAAGTGAACGCCGTAAAAATCAGACAGGACAAAAAGAAAATGTAAAGTAATTTGAAATTTTAATGATAAATATGTGATGATCAACACTCACAAATTAAACAAACTGGGTAAAATACTGGTTTTCAGTGGCTCCAAAAGGTGAAGACTCCACACCACATACATACTATACACAGAAAAAATGTTCTCCATATTTCCAGTTTTCTATTCTAAGCTTCCCTTAGAAGACCATATGAACCACTAACAGAATCATACACCTCTGAATCAGAGAGCAGAAGTAAATTCCCAGTCTACTGACCCACCGTGTAAAATTTTCTTTCTGTATATAATAGCTGTAATAGGAGCCACAGTGATGTTCTTAAAAGAGCAAACGAATAGAAACCAGCATGAAACCAAGACGTGCAAGGAAATAAGAACCACTAAATCTCCAGTGGTCCCTCAATTAAATGCAATTCCAATCCCAATAACACATATATCAGAGCAAAAGACTAATCTAATCTTAATGTATGCATTGAAGAGACAGCTGTAGCATTTGCATTGCATTATTCACTCAGTTCCTGTGATATTTCACTTACAACATGGCCTGCTCTCAGATATGTTTTCACCTGGGCATTTTCTTTTGCTTCAGTGAAGATCAGGAACAGAATCAATTTCTAATCTAATTTGTACAATCAACTCACAATTGCTGTTCATATATTTAGTGTCTTTATTTGGTTTTCATAACATATTTATTTCAGGGATAAGAAAAAATGAAAATAAGAACGGTATTGATAATAGCCTATGTCATCAAATCTTTATCACAACACATTCAAGAAAACACCTGCAGGAGATGGAGCTAACAACTTCAGTGCTGAAGGTGAGCTTAGTTTTGGTATAATTGATAGAGCATGGTGTTTCTTCTTCACACTCTACCTTGGAAAATAAGTTATTTTAGGTGAATATGTGCTGCCAGGTATTCTTATTTGAGAGGTACAATATAATCCAGGATTTCTCCCCCTATTGTAGGTCTACCACTGAAATTAAAACAGTGAATATCCTCACCCCAATCAAACCATATAAATCTTAAAATCTGGCAAGCAAGCATTCCACATAAAATCACAAACAATCTACATACTAAAGGCTAAACCTACTGTACTTCTCGAGGTAACTAAAGCGCAGCATAATTATCATCTTGTATAACTGACTCACTCAAAACCAGAAGAAGTCTTAATTATAAAATCAGTTTTGGAGGCAACATGAAAGTTATGTTACCAGAACATATGGGAAAGGAGTTCAAGTGGCCTAGTTTCTAGAAGAAAACTCAGGACAAAGGAGCACTGCAAATATAAGTACCTTCAGAAATTTTGCAGTATGTTGTCATGTTTTAAAAGCCAGCACACATCATGAGGTTCATTACACTGTAATACTACAAGGTCAGGTTACTTTCCAGTTTACAGAATTCATCTCATACCTGATTATATCATAAACATTTAAGTTTTAATTTTTAAACCTTATATTTACTCTGAGATTTTTAAAAATACGAAGCAGAAACTATGTAACACAGCATTTTGACAGCTGCTGTAACAAATTTCATACTGAACCTCCAAAAGTTGAGTGCAAAGTTTAGAATAATTTCTGAAAATCCTAGCCCTGAGAGTTACAGATGTAAAATCAGGTCTCTTAGGAAATAATTTCACCGTGAACAACTGCGGAAATTGACTGAAATAGAGAAGGTTGCAGTCAAATCCCATTCAACTGCATCACAGTGAGAACATTCTCCTTAGAGGAGTTCCTAACACCAAAGGTGGACTGTAGTGGAGGAAAGACCTAGCTTGTCATTTTGACAATTTTTAAATGCTTGTTTCCATTTAAATTCTCTGACACTCAAATGTTCATGAAAGCAAGATCATCATGGCACCTGCAGAGCAGGTTTCCCTAATAAGAATGTAAACCAACATGAATGTTCAGTTATGACATCTATTTGGTTAGGATCTCTACGGCTAATAGTGTAGCTACAGTGATAGGAAGATCAGCAAATCTCCAACTAGACACCAGTACTACGAGCAGCTAACTGTTAACAATGGCTGAGAACTAGTGATACTGATTTAGCCTCGTATGCTTCTGTTGCCTCATATCTTGAGCAGGATTCAGAGCTTAAGCATACACAGATGAAACAGATGAGGTACAAGTAGGAGTAAGAAAAAATAGCATAGTAAAACAGGTCTCCCTTCCTAAAGCCATAGTTCTATAGCAAAAACATGAAACAAAGTGTTGCAAAAATACTTCCATTCAACGCTGCTGACTACAGGGGTTTACACAGGCAAATGCCTCAGAGTCTACAACAGCCTTCACCGCAGGAGAGTAACTAACTTCTAAACTCTCTGATTGCCCACAGAGTTGACAAAGGAATGAACTTCCAAGAGTTTGCAATGACAGTTACCCCCACCTCAGATCTTGCCAATCAGCTAGCAAACACTGGGGCAGTTAACTCTTGGCTCTGAGAAGGAGAAATCTCCTACCACTGACTTCTGACAGTATTTTCCCATGCTGTTGGTCAGTTCATCTCATGAACAGATTTATGGCGAACAAGCAAAATTTGGCCTTATGTTCCTGGGCTCATGTCTAGCGAGCCTGGTTTTATCCTTTTCCCCCTTCGAACCCAGTTTCAAGCCCTCTCAATGAGCCCGGCCAACTCATGAGCAAGAATCCTTTTCCCGCTTTGAGAAAGCCAGACTCCATCTGTCGCCAACAGGCCCGGCACCGTGTAAACCTCGCCATGATCAAAGAAACCAAGATTCCACTGTTTGCATCAGCCTCTGAACCACATGTTGATCAGGTGTATTTTCCTGTTCCTTTCCCTATTCTTTACTACCTGTGCTCCTGATCCTTCAATCAACTGCCTCAGTGCCCTGAAACCCCTTTTGATGTCTTTCGGGTTTCTCTCCACAACCTCGTCACTGCCCACCTGCATGACCAGTAGCAGGTTATAATCCAAGGGCTGTACCAGACCAGGGAGTTTCCTGGTGATGTCTCTGACCCGAGCCCCAGGGAGGCAGCTGACTTCCCTGTGTGGTGGGTCCGGTCAGCATATCGTGCCCTCTGTTCCCCTCAGAAGGGGATCCCCTACAACAATCACCCTCCTCTTCTTCTTAACAGAGGAAGTCTTAACACACAGGGCTACCCAACTCTCCCTGGGTGAACCTTCTTCCTTATTCTCAGTAGCCTGACCCTTGAGTTCCAGAGCCCCGTATCTGCTGTGTAAGGGCAACTGGGAAAGGGATGAAGGCCGGGAGGGGATTCACCTGCCTCCCCGAGCAGGGACCTGTTTCCATTCCCTCTCCATCTCTCAGGTCTCTTCCTCCTTCTGCCTGGTGATGAGAAGGTGGGGGATCCTGTGCTTTTTGCGGGGCCTCCATCTGCTGCCTTTCCCTCAGGGATGGCAGGGTGCAGCTCCACCAATCCATCTCCCTCTCGCACTCCCAGATACTCCTTAACCTTTCCATGTCCTCTTTCAGTTCTGCCACCAGGTGGTCCCACCGGGGCCGGGGGCTGCTGCCCGCCGGTACCCGTGAGAGGCTCAGGCAGTCCCTGCAGCCAGCTGCCTGGGGGCTCCATCTGTGTCCCCACCCTCTTTCTGCTGACGCCTTTTGGCTAGGTAGAAACCATCGCTGTGCCCTCTTCTCTTCTGGGCGGGTGATGACAACTGGGTGAGGTGGGCTCCTGAGCCCAGAGGGGATGGTGCTCTACCCGCGCGAACTGCCCCCGACACATGCTGTTCACTGGGGTCTGGGTCCCTCGCGCTCCCTGGGAGGGGTTTAAATCGCCCTCTATTGCCCTGCAGACCACCTGTCAACCGCTCTCGCAGTGGCTGACGGTACCATGCGGGCTGCCCAGCTATTTCCCTGCTCGCCAGGGTCGGGGAACCCCTCTCCTCACCTCCATCAAGCGCTGAGCTGCAGCAAGAGCTGCTGCCACCGCTGTGTCCCGCACTGACTGAGCAGATTCTCCCCACAGGAGTAATTTTTACTCACTATTGACTTAAAACATACCATTTTCTCATCTTCTGTACTACCAGATATATTCCAAACACATTTCTTATGAACATTTAGTGGTTTCTGCTAATATTGTAACTTTTTTATATAATGATAAAAGAAATGCTTCTAGCTTATATTAATGACTGTGTAAAAGTTGAAATGTCTCAAACTAGAATTGCTTTTATTATGTTGTTATTCCATATGTCAACATTAGTGAGCATTACATGTGCAACTTCTCCAATCTGTATTACTTATATTTCTACATTTCTCTCTTCACTTTTAGTACAGGGAGGAATAATGGGCAAGGCAAATTCCTTATCTGGCATAAGAGCTTAGTTAAACAGCAAGCAGGAGCTCAAAGTCTAAATTTTGCTGTCTAGTACATGAGAGAAATAACGCTTTCTGTAAGGGGCTGTTATCACTTTCCTTACCTCGCCTATTTCGTATTTTCTTTACCGTCATGGCTTGTGATTCACCTAGTTAGCAAATCAGACATCAGAAGATCTCTCCATGTCAGCTCCATGTTTTCAGTTACACTATGCATGGGTCTCTTACTCCAATAAATCTTTTACTAATCTTGAAAAACAAGGGTGGTAGGGGAACAGCCTGCAGTGACGTTTCCTACCAACAGTATTATCTTGCATTCAGGTCTTTAGGTAAGCATCAGCATGAAAACCATGCTTGAAAAGAGTCAAAAATCAGTCTTAAGAGTCCAGAACTAATCACTCTATTTGAATCTCATTTCTTAGCTACTGGGTCCAATTTGATTACTATCTACTGTTCAGATGCCTAGTTGACATCACATTGACAATTTCACATTGAAAAAGCCCAGTAATTATATCTTCATTTAAGAAAAAAAGAAAAAGGTTGTATTTACATCAGTAAATTAGGGCAAGAGACTCAAGTATTATGACATCAACACCATTAATTGCAGAAACAGCCCTAGTATCTCTTCAGTAAATTTGAGATACACTTAGCAGAGCTTCTTTAATGCAGTGAAATTTGTCTACTCTCTCTTTACAAAATCAAACTCATGTGGCATGTACAAACATCCTTTTAAAGACAATAGAGTAGTATCATTAAAAAAAAAATCCACAAAAACATTATACTCATAAATTTTGAAGACTTTGCTTTTTCTAAATAAGCACATGACAAATTTGGTAATACAGATAATCACCTTTAAGGTCCTGTTATAGACTACAGTCATGTTAACAACTATATTTAAAGACATGCACAGTTGCAAGCTGTCATTACCAATGGGAATCATAAATCGCCAAGAGAAATTCTTAAGATATTACTTATATTCACCTAATGTGCAGTGTTCACACTACTTATTTCTTATTCTGCTCAAAAATTATATTCCTCTAATATAGTCCAAAGTGGTTTTTTGATCAAGTTTAGTTGCAATAGTTTTAAAAAAGAAAATATATTGGAAATTTCGAAAGACAACGTATTTAGTTGGCAGAGGAGGTTTACAGAGAACCGACTGCTTCTGAGGAAGTAAAAGCCAGGACCGTTATTTCAGTGAGAAGTACAGCACAGCTCAGCTTAACTTCATTTACTTTCACTTCGAGCAACACAGAGACTAATTGCATCTCTAGGCACTAAGGGGTTAACATACTGGCTCAGGAGGAAAATAAGATATTAGGTAATGTCAAAGAAAATAAATAAGCTAGTTTGAAGAATTTGTGTCTACAGTGAGACGGAGTTCCCAGATTCTCAAATCATAAATATGTTTCAGGCACGCTCTTTCCTCCTAAGAGGAGTTCAGGCCTCAGGAGTGAGAGAGGTGATTAAGAAGGGAATGTGCTATGCGTTATGGAGGTAACTTTGTTACATGCAAACATACAGATATTTCTAAATACCCATCTATTACACATACCCAAGTAGTATACATGAACTACCCTGCATTACCACTACAGTCCTTCAAGACAACACAAATTGCATCCATTCCATATGTTTATTACTACATTAGGTTAGCTGAAAATCCTGAAAAACATGCAGAATTCATAAAGGGAAGGTATTAGAATTAGAAAGAAAGCAACTTAATACAACTGAAACTGTAGCTGTTTTGATGAATGGTTTGTATGCCTGAATTAAAAGATAGCATTACAACTAGCTGGCCAAGAAACAGGAAAGACTGCCAGGACTTAAGGTAGAACTACAACCAAAATAAAAATGTAATGAATTTTACAAATATAAATCTCATTCTATTAGTATGATTTAGGGTCTCACAGGGAGAACTTCATGATAGTTAGACTGAACAGGTCTAACACCAATTTTAAAGAATGAAAAACATGTCAAATAAGGAAGTTAAAATACTAAAGAACATACCAGAAGATGCTTCCAGCCTTTCTAATCTGCTGATCAACCAATCAAGAGATCCAGAAAATTGAGCACAGTTTTTACGATTCCCTCGAATCAGAGCCGCTATTGGATAAAGAGAGAGAAATAAAATTTAAAGAATAAATTGCAATTATAAGTCCATTTGAATTAAAAGAATCCTTGTCTTATGCTTAAATCTAACCATCACCCATGTTATCCTTACTAGAAAGATAAATACTCCTCTTGGTATCAAACTGACCCTTAAGATTATTTTGACTTTACAATCGCCTCAGTAATCCTAAATGCTCTACATGAAGTAGCCGGTATTGACACCACAGAAGTCAGTTGCTACTGTAAAAACAAATTTCTGCAAAAGAGTGTTCTTGTAATGACAGAAAACCCTGAAAGAGCAGAATGTGAAACCAATGTGATTAATGTAAATTATTTTGTACTGATATCATTCCTTTGTTCTAGAGTAATAGAAACTAAAACAAGATAGTGTCCAGGAACTGTTCATCATAATGTTGATGGAGGTGTAGGGAGGAAGTAACTGGTTCAAAGGTGTTTCGCTCTCATGCTTTAAGCTGGAGATTAAAGTAGGTTGAACGCATGCACTGACTTGGTCGGTATAACTGACCAGAAATCTCACTGAGCACTGCAGGCACCACCAAGCCTACCCTGTCCTGGCATATGTGCATTTGCATGTATGTGCATACACACAAGCTGTCGGGGAAGCATCTCTTCTACTTTGAAAAAAGTGCAATGTAATACGATTTCTGTTTGATGTGTGGAACTGTGAAAGTGCTTTTCTTAAGATTGTTTTCCAGTTGTGACAACAAATCATTTCAACCTGAAATTTCTATGGTTATTTTCAGCAGCAGAGACTTGGTTTTGCTGAGGCAATGACCTCTTAAAATCAATGTTTTATTAGTGCAGAAATTCATATTATATTGCAACTGTAGTTTTATGCAGTTTCATTTTTAAAAGGCTAACTTACAGACCTGTGACAAAAATATTATATGAAACTGTATCAGCAAAGAGGAAATGCAATCTTGGAGTTAGTTGCAAACAAGTCATTGCACTGACATTTCTGTATCATGAGGAAAGAGATCACAATCCAATTGCTTCATAACCAAAAACTGACCAGAAAAAAAACCCCACACCAATTCAACCAACAAAAAAACAACCCCTAACAAGTAAAACAGACAAAACTTTGACTTGGTGTATCATATGATAAAACAGTCTATACCTTGAAAACTTACATAATTAATTAATTGTGAGCATAGTTATTTGAAAATACCTGGGAATCACAAGAGGAGGAAGATCTTGTTAAAAAACACAGATTGGAACTGAGGAACACTTGTATCTCTAAGTGACTTTTTTTACTGATTGTAGGCAAGCCCCATAATCTCACTGTACTTCAGGTACAAACATAAAATGAAGGCAGTAATAGTTCATTGCTTAACAAGACATCAAAACATTTAACTTCATTAATGGTAACAAGACACAAATTGTTTCATAAATATAGCTCAGCAGAAGTTTTTGGAAAGGTTAGCATCCAGTGGTTAAAACAGTGCATTAAATGAAACACACAGCCACTTAACATTGACAGCAAGAAATAATATGCAACAGTTGCTTCTTTTATTGTCTGCTCCTCTGAAGGCGGCTAACAACCAGTTTTAACTAAAAAAAAACCCAAAACAAACCATAAGCCAAAACACAAAAAACAAGACATGGTCAGTCAGACATTAAAATCCCATCATTGCATATACTCCCGCGGATTCTTTGGCAATACAAAAGGACCAAAATACAAGTTCAGAGTGTTTGTATTTGTAATAGAGGGAGGGCAGATGCCTTTGTAGATATATGGCAATCATTTTAAATTTAAAGAGGGTAGATTTCAACTGAATATAAGGACGGTTATTTTTGCAACAAAGGTGGTTGAGCTAGACAATCTTTAAAGGTCACTTGTGACCCAAACCACTCTATGAATCTACAATTTTTATATGCAATAGTATCCAGTCTCAATTCAAAGTCTGTCAATGCCTCCATTCTCGTCACAGGGAAATATACCACAATGATGTGACAAAAGCCATGAATTCTGGCATCACAGTTTACTTTTATTTATTTGCAGACTCAAGTACTGTTTGCTGAAGCAAGACTGTGCAAGCAATATCCATTTGTCATCCATGCAATTACTGTACAGCTCTAGCATTATTCAGAACAGAGCAATGTACAAGTTCATTATAGCCAGATCAAAGGCAGGCTTCTTCAGCTGTAGCTGCCAGAAGATAATGCAGTTAGGGACATAACATAAGGCAGCAGGAGGGGCACAGAGATAGGGAAGTCAGCAGACACTTGTGCACTGTTCTCACGACAAGTGCACTGTTCTCACGACAAGTCCATGGAAACAACACTTGGTACAGGACAAGTAGATTCTTTCAGAAAGAATCTTGCTTTCTGGCCTTGTCAACTGGAAATTTCAGATTTAGAGAAATGATTCAGCAATCAAGCCACTACTTCCTCCAGTCTGAGCTACGCTGAATGTAACAAGAGAGAAAAACTAAACTGTTACAAGAACTTCAACAGTCACCCCTATCTATGAATAACTCAACTACTCTAGACCTAGTGTAGATAATTTTAAATGTTTACAATTCCTGCCATAACTTTCTTCATTCATTCTTAATAAATCAAAAAACTACCATTAGTATTCATGGAATAATCACCTTTAAAAAACAAAAAAAAGTCTAAAGCAGATTCACTTTACTTAGTGAGCATATATGAGCTGAAAGATAGATTAAGCTGTACAATTTTTGCCAATGTTCCTTCTAGATGACCTTTTTATCCCAGGGTTAGTCAGACATTACATAACATCACATTTTCAAGCATTCATACAGGCATTAGGGTGAGTAAAGACAGAAGCAGAGGGATGGAAAACAGCAGTAATGCTGTCATGAGAAGCTCACACTAAGATTCACTATAATTTTCACTGTGAAAGCTTCATTTATTTTCATGCATCTTTTCCAAATTTTAACTCTTCAAGACAAAATTTGCTACCCTTCCTGCCTGCCAGTGGTTGAGCTATCTTCAGAAAATTCAGACTAACAGTCTGGTTTCTTACAAGCATGAAGATAGCCAAAGATATATGGGGTTTTTTTGTTTTGTTGAAATATAATGCCAACAGCAAGAAGCATTTTCTTCATTTTCTGTAAGAGCCCATAAGAGTTCTTAAGGAAGACATTGAAAAAGATAAGTGAAGGATGGAGAAAATTTAAAAAAAAAAAAAAAAAAAAGAAAAGGAGGGAAAGTATCTAGGTACTCCACTCAAGAACCTACAATGTAATTCATGTTGCCAAGTCATAAAATTTCTCAATCATAAACCCACTGGCAAAACCTCCATCACCCCTGAAGCAGTTTGTCCTGCTAAGCCATGACACAGTTCTTCATGCAGAGTTGCAATGCCAAGGACAACAGTACCATTTTACAAATTACTCTTCGCTGAAACCAAAGTATGATGAATCTGAAGTTTCAGTCCTGCTTTTGACCCACATGCTGACTGACTCACTCGTCACCATGCTGCACGTTACAGAACTGGAAGGAAGTGCGTTTAACTTAGAACTATAAAAACCTTAGAAATCAAAACAGAAAATATTAAAATTAGCTTATAACGCTCATAGAATCTGCCAATCTAATGTTAGGAAATGCCACTTCTGGTCAGCCTTGCAACCTGTTCGTATGCATCATGCTAAAATCTTCAACTACATAGAGGCAGTAAGTCCTCAACCAGAATCGCAGCCACAGGAACCACAGTCCAGCCTAACGACCTGTGGTTAGGTGACAGTAGTCACTCTTCAGCTAGCTCCTTTCCTCTGAGAGATCACAGGAGGGGGCTTCTGGTTGTCTCAATGCTATGTCAACTTTTATTTCTTCTGACAGAAAAGGTAGTGGGCCAGACAGAAGCACCTCATTGGTTTCATCAAGGACTGTGCACCATATGCTAGATATCCTTCTTTTCCCCCCAAGATTATTTTCTTCTTTAAGAGCACAAGATGAGGAATCTACTTTGATTATAGAAAAGCTTCGCAACAGCACTATATACACAACTCCTGCCTCAGTTGCCTTCCTTGGCTGCTGGGTAGTAAGGAGAGTATATGTGAAGTGAGGAACATCATTAAAATTTCATTTCTGTGCCTCTGAATTTGGAGAAATGCAAGTTTTTGGTATGCTTTGCATACACAAAATACTGCTGAGTAGTCTGAAAAAAGGACAGATGCCACAGCTGTTATTTGGGAGCTAGCATTGGTAAAAACTTTTTACCTAAATTTCTCTCTGTATCTGTTCCTCTGAGTGAATGGGAGATAATACCTTCTATTTGGCTTAATACAGAAGTTTCTGACAGAACACCTATTAATAGTTCCAATTATTCAAATTACTAATCATAAATGGCACAAAAGAACTCCAAGATAATAGCTTTGTTTTCTAAATATTAATTAAATAGCTCACAATAAATAAGATTTGATGCTACACACTGCACAGCAAAGAGAAAACTAAGTATTTTAAGTACAAATAATAAATGAACAGTAAATAGGGAATGAGTCCTATAGAAAAATTAGTATGTGATCATGTTTCACAATGCACACCCAATAAAAGAGCAAATTAATAATATACACAAGACATCCATCTGGGCACTTCTTAACCACTTGACTCACTTCATTTTACAAACTCAGTATTCATCCGTGGAGTTTTAAATAATTGATTTATAACATAACATTACTTGTATACCTTTTCAATACCAAATTTTTCAGCAGTGAGATTTAGTATAAATGTTACATAAAATGCTTTATGTTTTACTGGAAAGTGGGATGGATAAAATCCTGCATGAAGGCTTTGTCCAAACTTAAGCTTTTGCCAAAACACATGCAAGTTTAAAGGCAAGCAGGCCCTGACATTAGAGGTGGTGTTACAGAAAGCAGCATGGGCAGACTTTTGCAGCCAGCACAAAGGACTGCTTAATGACAGGGAAACATTACTGTCCTCAGTCACTTGAGGCCAATGCTAATGTTATTATTTAAGTTTACTTATGGCACTGAGAAAACCTGATGAGAGAGGAGCAAGGAACTGACAAAATGGTCTCTTAGGCAGTAAAATTTCCTTTTGTAGACAATTACCAACACAGGAGGAGTGAATATGCAAGCAGCTAAAGTAGTGGATTAAAAAACCCATATAATGAGTCACAGTAGAACACAAATAATGTATACGATTAAAATTGGTGAGCAATTAGTTCAGACGAATAAATGCTACTATCTAAATAAAAGTTTGACCAGGACACCAACTAACATTTACATACTTAAGGAAGGTGTTATAGGATTTTCAGTGAGGGCAGGTAGACAAGATCGTTACGATACACTGCATTTAAAAGAGTGTACCTTTCCATGGCACACTGTATGCTAGTATAACGTTGGAGTCACTCGTCATTACTGACTAATAAGACAGGTCTTAGTTATAGAAGTTTTAGACTAATGCTGCAGTTCTGCAGCCAGATGTGTGAAAAAAGGCAGACTTTTACAAAACTGACCACATGGCTCCTTGACACAGCAATGACATATTCACATACATTTTTTTCACATAATTTTTGGCAGTACACCAGATATATTAGTAATACAGTAATATGAAAGAGCAAAGAATCATTTAAATGAAGTCAGATACATGTTATATATCACAAAAATATTAATAGAAAAATTACATTATTTGAGTATTTTCACCATATTTTATTCTTAAGCACACTCAAGGACCTGGAAATGCAAAAATCTTGTTTAAATTATATCCTAAATTCCTATACATTGGAAATTCTTCCGTAATAAAACAGGTATGTGTTTCTTTTCATGAGTATTATTTTAAGCTAAAACAATCCAAGTAACTCATAATAGGTCTTACCTAGTAATTCATACAAAGAATTCAGAATAGATTTCCAGGCTTCTCCAGCTTCCTTCCCAGCTACGTCTGCAAAATGAGCTGCACTGCTGTATACATTCAAGCGATCAATACATTCAAGAACAAGGTTGATCATACCCTAGAAATGGAAAGGCTCAGATTGTCAGAGAAAAAAAAAGTATTGTTTAGGTGCAAACACATAAGATTTTCAGAAAATTAAGAAAGCAAAGCATGAAAGAAAGGATACGCAAAACAAGAATATATGCATGGAGTCAGACAAGCAGAGTCAAACAAGCACTCCTTATGGAAACATAAGGATTTCTCTGACTGAGATAATAAAAATTCACCATTTAGGATAGTTAAAAAAAAATAAACAGTATTCCAGACAAGCTTCTATTCTGGAAGGTACTTACGCATTTAAGTACAGACAACTATCACTACCAGAGAAATAACAGAGAATATTAAACAAAATATTAAAGCATCCTTGTTAACCCAAAACATTCTGCTGCATCAAGAGATTAAACTATAGCAGAAGAAACTAATTCACGCGTAAGGATTAAATTATGGTTAGAATTCAAGGCATAAGGCATTATTATTATCTAATTTTTTTTAAAAAGGGAAAGGAAGTAAGGCCTTAAATGTATTTCTTTAAATACACAGGAAGATCAACAGATCTAAAGAGATTATAAACGTAGCAAATAGTTTGACTCTTACAGGACAAAAAAACCACCACAATCATACTCCAGATTAGACATCAACATTACAGACACTGTGAAAGAATGGTGGAAAATCAGTAGTAAAACTGAGAGAAATACCTCTTCCTGGAAGAGATTCTGGCGATTCTTCAGTGCTCGGAGCCTGTTTTGTTTGTCTTCATGCTCCAAATGTTCATCAGGGGGGTGAAAGTAGCCAATCAAGTCCTGAAGGCTCAGACTGACTGACTCGATAGGCAAATCAATGGTGGAAGACTTCACTTTCTTACTGAGAGCATCAAGGCCCCTACAAGAAGATGTAAAGTCTCCTGAGCCCTGGAAATTAATCTGTTTTATCATTTAAATCTTTTATTGGTTTAAAAGCAAAGTTTGTTCAGATACCAAAGCCCAATTCATTGTCTGACAGCTACATAACTTAGCAATAATTATGTCTGCCCCATTCACCACTTAATGATCCCAAACAGAAACCAGAAGCATCGAAAATGTTATTCATCTTAAAATTTTTGCTAATCCAGAAAACATATTTTAATATTCTATCTACACATTTAGCAGTATCAGAGGCTGACCAAAAGATGAAGAGAAATTATTGTAAACCTTTAAAGCATCATGAGGCTGAAACCAGTCGTATGGTGCCGAATATGGCCCACCTAGTCCATACAGGTTCTCAAACATGTCTCTAACCTGTTCTTAAGCCATCTACAAGCACTGGTAGATGCAGCTATTCCACATACTGTGCTCCAGCACTTCACTAACCTTTTTGTTTCCCTGATACACAATTCAAGCTGGGCCTTGCTGTATGACCGAGACCCCTAGAAGTGAGGGGAAGACTGTTCGCATCCATGTGGCACCTGCCCCTTGCTTAGCTGAATCCCAAAATAAATTTAATCCAATTTTTCCTCAGTGCTGTGCTTTCTTGACCCCTGATATACCTTTAGCCTCCATTTAAACCTCATCTTTGTTGAAATGTGGCTCTTGCAGCTGAGACCTCACCAGCCCCATGCAGCACAGTGGAAGGCAAGGGCTTTCCCTTGCACCTCCCTGGTTCCCCGCAGGAAGGTGGTGGTGGGCAGGGGCTGAGCAGTGGGGCTGCCACAGCTGGGGAATGCAAGAGGCCCACCAGAACCTTCTGGAAGGAGCAGGAGGGGGCCATGAGGGGCAGAGAAACGAGGGTTGCTAAGGCTCTGCAAACACAGCGCCCATCCTCAGGGTGGAAGGAAAGATCTGGAGGATCCTGAAACTCTGCAAGAGCCAGCCAGGGACCTGAAGCCTGAGAAAGTAGCAGCCCTGAAGGGAATGGCCCACCCTGTAGGCACATCGGGGGGACTACAGGAGAAGGGGGCTTGTTTGACATGCATGATTTCTCTTTTGACTCATTCTCAATTCTGCCATTGTAAAAAGGGATTATTTGCTAGTATATTTTTGAGTAAAGCATACCCATGTAGCAAAGAAGTCCTTTTTGTTTTCACCAGTGCCCCATTTACACTGAACTATAGACCAACAAAATTCAGCTGGCAGAGGAGCCCATCCTGTCCCCACAGGCACCGTCCCAGCCCCATCCACATCTCCCTCTTTTCTTTCATCAGACGTACCAAAGGACCCCGGCAGCCGGTCGCAAAGCTGTCTTTGCGAGCCCCCTGTCCCAAGTGGCACAGCACCCTCCCTGCTTGCTCCCAGGACTCCTCTCCAAGCCATGATATGGAGCAGAAGCCCAGTTTTATACTCTGTTTTTTGGTGGATTAAGACAACACTGAGAAGTATTTTGGAGGGTGGGTAGTTGGTTGGTTGGGTTTTGGTTTTGTAGGGGGTTTTGTTTGTTTGTTTTTTAACTGGCATGTTGCTCTGTATTTTCATCTCAAAAGGTGAAATACAACTGGTAAACATCTACGTTTAGGAAACACGAATTCAGTAGGAATATTTACTGCTAAAGAATAAAAATCTCTTAGAATACATAATGCAATATTTCAAAAAGATAGCTATGAAAGTTATATTTAAAACTTATTTTTCATCGTAAGCAAGTTATCTGAAATGCAATTTTTCCACTGACTTCATGGGAAAGAACTGGGGCAGACACTTGGAACAATTTTGATCCTCTCCAATTCAGCTTTTTCTTCTTGGAGTAACAGCCTGCCAAAACTAAATTGTTAAAACACTACCTTGGACTCCCTGTGCACTCTGCAAAAATCTCTACTGTAATCTAGCAGTACCTTGATTGGTGAAGGCTTGTCATTAAATTGCCTTTCTGTCCTTATCTTTTATGGCATTCTTATAAGCTTCTAAGAAAATGTATTATTTACAAAGTGACCTAGGGCTTGCATTGCTTTTGTATCTTAAATGTCATGGAATATGAAATTCTCCTGACAGGCACTTTTCTCTGTTGTTATTTAAGTACCTGGGTTTCAGCAAATTGGTAAGTCTATGTCTCTGGCTGTGCACTGGTTTAGGACAGCATTGTTTCAGGTCACCATCTCCCACACTGTCTGCTCTTATGATAAATGAGTTCCTATGAAATCCTTATCAATCTATATAGATTTATTACATATCATCCTTTTTCTACTGCCATCTACACTGATGAGAGGGGCCTTTCATCTACCAGTGAGTCACAAACATTTGAGAATTAGAATTTTATCAGTGTTATTTAGGAGGGCATTTGCAATAGGGAGATAAATGCAAAATGCCTAAGTCTGGCAGTATTTTTAAGTGGCTAAGATATTATAAAATAAAACGTTTTATGTGTTGCAAAACATAAAAGAAACAAGTAGCATTAAAAGGGAACACATAAGGAAAGTGTTATGGAAGGATAGAAAAAAGGTGTGTTTTCATAATTGTAAGAAAAACTTTTTCTTGACACTATGAACCTCCTCAGTATATTTGTGTCTTGTACAGGTTTGTAGTTATACAGTTTTCTCCCTCTTTCAGGATTTTCAAGGAACAGCACTTTTAAAAACCACACTTGGAAAAGAAAAAGAACAATGATGCACTGCATGACTCTCAACAAATTTTGGCAGAAGAAAAATCTTTCTTTTATGGCTTGTTTGCATTTTCAGCATGCATATGCGTTCAAATCAAGGTTAAACAAAAAAAATATTATTAGAAAATAAAGAAGCTGACCAATACCCCCTCAAGGTACATGTCTGCTGAAAACACAAAGAAATGGCATGAACTCCGGTTTGAGAAGTATTCATCTGTTTTTTCTTAGGGCTAAATTGTTCACTGTCATGCTAATAACCGCTTTGAATAAAATAGAAGAGGGAAAAAAAAAAAGGTTAAAAGATCACTTCAAAAGCACACCTTATAAACCTGTTGAAAAGGAAGACTGTACTACGAATGACACGTGCTGTACGGGATTCTTCATTCTGAGATCTGGACAGTGTTAAACCATCATCCATGTGACCTTCATGATGCATTATTGCCTGCAATACAAAAATAAAGAGCAGTCACTGCAAAATTAAACACTATTAGAGGTTTCAGAACACAAATAATAAATAGGAAAACTCACATAATAAGACAGGCTAGGAAATGAAGTCACATAGACAAAAAAAGAACAAAACCAACCAACAAAAAAAAAAAAATCCCATGTTTTACTTCCTCATGTTCAAGGATGTACTTTTACTCAGCCAGCAGGTTCAGTGCCATAATAACCTCAAAGCCAGAGCTTCTGCAAGGAATATAATTTGTTTAAAATATGAAAAAATCAAAAATTTAAGTTCGTTTGGTTTTGTCAACCTTGAAAATAGTTCCTTTACACAGCAGCAGATACCCATAATACAGACAAGGTTCAAAACAGGTATTCTTTACTTGTCCTGATTTCCAAAGATGTTACTGACCTTCTTTTCTGACTATGCCTTGAGTCACTACTGATAACTTAGTCTGGCATGTTTAGTTATCATGGCTCTGACGATATTAAATCCAAATCTACATAAATATTTTAAACTAATTTAGGTAACTTTTTATTTACAAACACACACACAAACTATTCATATTACTTAAATTACTAAGTTACTCAGTAATCTATCTTATTTTGAAATGTTTTAGAATCATTTAAGTATTACAATTATTACAAGTATTAATTATATTAGTATTATAACCACTAAAATTTTACATGTATATAAACAGCTTCCTAGATACGTATTATTTTATATGTTTAAATAATATATGTGTGTGTATACACATATATAATACTGAGACTTTTTAAATATATATATTAAATTATAAGGTATGACCTTCCAGGTACACCAGGTGCTACTTTAGCTTTGTATTCTGGCATATAAAACAGTCAGAGAAAATACTGCAGCCTGGAAAAACATAACATGATATGTTATTTTGTTTTATTTTTTTAAAAAAAGAAGGCTAAAACATGTTTTCCTTGCTGAGAAATATCATCTTGCAAAATTACATATTTACAATAAACAAGTACACTAATATGGCTTCTGGAAGATGTGTTAAGCTGTAAAACATTTTTTTTCCCTACTTTATTATGCTGAGCTAGAACTCTGCTTGGCCAGGTTATTCTTTAAAAGAAATAATGTCCCAGGGTTCAAGACTTGAGCATTCCAACCCAAAAGGTAACACGCTCACAATGTGGAAAGAAAAGACTTTGAACTAAAAGCCTCCTCAATCCAAACTACAGCACACTAAAGGAAGGAATTTTAGGGCATTCTACAGGCTACTACTAATGTTTTTTGTTTGACATCAAGTATATCCAGATTTATTATTTAAGTTTGGGTCTTAATGTCTATAGGCTAACATACACTTTATCTTTCAGGTTAAGAATTCAGTGCATCACATTAAGAAAACCCCAAACCTTTCACACTGCAACAAAGACCTGCTTAAAATATTTGAAACCCAGAAATTAACTCTTGTTCCCTTAATTTCCTCCCCCTGCCCTATCAGACTGTGAGTGAATGAAATGCATTGCTATTTATAGTCTTACCTTCCGCTGCAAAGAACCCATTCTTACAGACTTTGCATCAGCAGACTGGTACGTGAGCCATAAGCCTGTATCTACATGTTGTATGAAGCATATTGAATCCCCGTATTTTATTTCAGGTGCTCCCATTCCATCCACCTCTTTTCTTGTCCCTATGTCTAACTTTTCCTAAGAAAGAAAGAAATGCATACAATAACAATAAACAACATAATATTTGCATAAAATAGTGAATACTAGACAATTTTCCACAGCATGACCTGAAAGAGTATTTGAGATCCCTCTTTAATGAAATTATTAAAAACTGGTGAAAGTGTAACTTCTAGTTAAACATTTAGGGAACAGATGGAGAGAGAGAGAGATCCCATTCACACAGAAATTATTACACTAGGAAAGCCAGGTGCATTCATTTCATCTCTAGAAAAGGTGATCATAACTCACCAACATGTCATTGACACATAAAAGCTTACAAAACAAGACCACATACACTTAATCCCATAGCTGAACCTATGGGTTTGACCTCCAGAATCTTTTTCTTGGGGATTTTTTTTCCCCGCCTGGAAAAGATGAGCACCTGCCTACGCTGTCACATAGAGATGGACTTTAACCTGTCACTGCCCATTACTGCCCAACAATGGGCTCAATATTTCCCAAGAAAAAAAAATGCATTTCGATGTTTTTGTGACTGGCCTGTTGACATGCTGTAAAGAAGAACAACATGACCAGGCATCAGTCCCGCTGGCATCCTATACAGAGAGCAGTTGCCTCATGAAAGGAAATTTAGCATCCCAAATAATACTATAGTTTGTAACTGTATGTTTAGGTGTTCCCCAATATCTAACTCTCCTAATATCCAACTCCTTCCCCACAGACATCAATTTATAAGACAAACAGAAAATGCATCCCGATTTATGGCAGACCATCCATTTAATCTCTCCAAAAGCATATTGTTCAACTGACTGATACACCTCTTTTCTGCCTGCACTAGTTGTTAAAACCAAAGTATTGAAAAAACACATTATAAAGGATCAATACATATCTTATTAACTGTAGGAAGGATGTTAATGTAGTTATGCAGGAAACTACTCAAGGGACTTTGACTGTTCATTGCAAGTTCCTGAGGCGTTTGCCTCCAGCTCCATTGAAGGCAAAAATCTTCTCCATTAAGTGTAACCAAAACTGCTTTGAGTCATTAGTTCCAATTCATGTAATCAAGTTACTGATATAGAAACTAGTCATCATTATTCTGGGAGAAGAGGGAATGCATCACAATTGCTGCAGCTGAAGCTGAGATTACTGTAACACTGCAACTGCTGTGTGGCTCTCAACTTCAACCCTGCAGGCAGGTTTAGCGGTGCACTAACTCCCTGTATTCGGCTTCTCTATAAGCTCACACATGCCCAGGTAAGAAGCTGCCTAATTTCCAGCACTGTCTGAAAAACCACCTGTGCAAACTGCAGGCCTATTTTAGGCCATACATTCAGGGTACAAGATGATCCCCTTAACAAAATGCAGCTTCAACCTTCCCTGCTTCTTCTCAGCAGTAGAGGACAAGCCACTTCCTTCAGTTCCTCAGAGTAATGTTACGAAAACATGAGACAAAATGTCTCATGAAAAAAAACAATGAGACAAAAACTTGTAACTGTTCTATCCTTCTACAGCCAGGAGAATGCTTAGACCACACACATACGCCTTGACAATTTGGGGACACAGCTTCACCGTAAAAGATGACGAAGACAAGGTTTGAAATTAAGAGAAAGCAAACTCCATTAAAGAATTTTGAAAAGCGTTTTTTAGGTAAAGGGAGATGCCATGTAACTAGATTTTTCACCCTACAAGTGTGAATGTATTTTGAAGCACTTAAAAAAAATATAAAGATATATTAATACTCAAGTGAAATATATTCATCAATTCAGATCATTAAACTGTTTCTGGATACAGATATTAATTTCACTATTTTATAAATGTCTGATCCCTTAAGTGCTGAAATTCTTGTTAAAATCTTGTCCACTGATACATGGTAATTGATTTATAAATATATCTGATGCCACTTACTGAGTTATTGTGCGCTTCTATTCATTATTATTTCATTATTTTATTCATATAATTTCTCTAAATGTTGTAATCAATTGTCTTCAGTTCAAAAGCTAGCACAAATAATCTGTCGGAAATTGAAAAGCTACTTAGAATAGGATACTGCACACAGTTGATGACACAGGAAAAAATAAATTCGGTCCTGCTGTCACGTGAAGACATGACAGCCTGATTTCAAGCTTTTGAACTTCTATTCTTTTGAATTATCTTCATAACTGGAAGACAGTGTGAACCTGTGTGAACATATTGTCTTTCTACATTGTAACATATGCTGTTTTCCAGGTCTTCCTCCTCTCAACCAGTTTTTTAAGATATGAATATATGATTTCACAAATTTTCTCATAAAGGTCTGTCAATAAAATTAGGGATTATTAATTTCAAATATTATTCCATACTTGCTTTAAAATCTACTGAAGATAACAGAAATTCAAAGCATTTGATACTGCAATCTTCATTCCAAGTAGAAGTAACATTAAATCTACTTAGCATAAAAATTTCAGTACCAACCATTTGCCAAATGAGCTCTCTGTCCTCACCTATTATAAGCGCACTGAGAACTCTGTGTGTAAGTTTACAGGCCAGACTGAATTCAATCACATTCAGTTGAGCTCTTTCCTGCCAATAAACATAGCAGCCGGAAAAGTATAACTAAAGTTGGACTGAGTAAAGGAGAGAAGATGAAAAGCTAGGGGACAGTGTGGCGGAAGCCAGCATTAGAGCATTTGTTTGTGAGCTTCAAGACACTGAGTTTTTCTGGGGAGTGAAGAGGAACCACAAGTTGTTTATAGAGGGGAACAGTTGCATGGAGTGCTGGATTCATGCCAATAAACAGCAAGTAGTTGAGAAAGTACATATAATGAATCAATCTCGTTATCTACTGTAAAATAGTTCATCAATGAAAATCAGGATCTAAACACAACAGAAATCACCATGTCACCATTTAATAATTGCATATTTGTAGAGACATTACGTGCTGGAAGTTTCCAGCTCACACCACTCTCACCATAACTTGCCATTGCATAATCATCCGCTACTTCTGCCTACAGCGTATTTACAAAGAAAAGATTCATTTTTATTTGCAGCCTAGGCCCATTCTCAGACCATGAACAACTTCTAAAGAAAGATGCAAAGTCTTTATTCATTACACTGGAACAACTAGAAACAACTGGTTTTTGCAACAGTCTGTAATCCACCTCAGTAATACAAAGCAATAAAAATGCATTGGAAATTAATAGGTTTATTGAAAAATATGCCAGATTTTTTAAAAAAAGCACATGCTTTTTTTTTTCACCATGCATACAAGAATTGAAGCCAATCTTCCCACATATTTGTGAGTTAGATGGACAACATATTTTTAAATGGTTTTATCTTAATGTCTAAAAAAAACTCCCTGTGAAGCCTAGTCTCAAATATATTATTTCATGCTAATGTTTCTATTTAGTTCCTTATAACATTCCCAAAAAGAATTCCCATGGTTAATGCTTGTCCTTTCAATTTTATCTCATCATCTGACCCAACCTATAGCTTCTGTGGCACACTTTCAGGACTGACATTCTAGCAGATCTCACTAATTAAAAGAAGTAATTCATAACTGCTTTTTAAGCTGGCATTAATATATTTCCTATTAATTTTTTTAAGAAACAGATTAAGACATAAAAATACAGACCATAATATTTTATTAACATTTATGTCTTTCTGGCTACTGGAAAAAGACTGTAGACAGGAAAAGCAGACTTTATACAGAATGTATAAACATTTCTACAAGCAGAAAATTACTTCAGTGGAAAAGTGATATTAAGCTGATACTTTTTATCAAAAAGAATTAATATTTAGCAAATATGAGAGGAAAAAAAAAATCCATAGAACTTAATCACTACAAAGCCAGGTCTATGAGAGCCAAATATTTGGGGAATAAATTGTAGATATCTGTGGACATCCTGTGTTGAGTGAAGCAAGACTACAAGAGAGAAAAATAGAGTTTTCTGAACTTCAGATGCTTGAACGGCTAATATAATTCTCATTTAATGATAATTATTAGTGTAATACATAACTAGATTAAAGCCCAACTCTCAGGAAAAAAAAAAAAAGAGACCGTTAACTCTTCAGAAATCCATATCTACTGAGTGCTGCTTGGTTTGAGATGTTTTTCAACTCCAACATTTCTTCATTTTGCAGAGATAGTCAAAGAATTTTAACACATAAGACGACTCTCATCTAATTTTCCAACTGCTGTACCAGAATGTTGGGGGGAGGGGGGGAAGAGAAAAGAAATGTGTGTGTTCCTTTGAGCACCTGAGAAAAGTATTCTTGTTCACATAAGACATCTTATAAAAAACTTAAGCTTTCTGGTTCTCTTCACATTATTTCATAAATGTATTACTGGCAAGCTAATGTGTTTAAAATTATGAGTAAGGCCCTTGCAAATAATGTAAAAAACCAACAGTAAATGCTGAGCATTTATATTTGCATCTGAATCTTCAGATTTACAGGGGATACATTTTCAGTATTTTCTCTGCAAACATGAAAGCTGCTTTTCATTTGGAAATAGAAATTATCATCTACCCACAAGCCTGAAGGAACTGAGTCTTTAACAATGCAAATAAGGGTATCCTTCCCCCATATCTGGTTTTGCCTATTTAGAGCTAATTTATCTTCAGCACAACAAGTGGGATCTTCCATTACTTTTCAGGCAGTGGAAGGAAGAATTATGACTGTGGCAAAAAAAGGACTGAAACTGCTGTAAGAAAGATCTAGCCATTCTGCATACTCACAGTACTAGTGATCTGTGTTCAATAGAGATTAGGGGCTGCCTCTTATCCAGAAATCATTATTTTGGGCTAACTACATAGAACAACACAACTGAAAGGTTGGTGTCCATACATGCTCGGAGGAAATGAGACCTCTAAAGCTGCTTACCTTCTGTACAGAAGCCTTTCTAGGATTGCTATATTTTTTAAATATTCATTTAATGCTCTTTACCTGAAGAGGAAGGCACCTAAAAAAATGTAATGCCTATATCCTAATGAAGTGAAACATGACACTCCTTTAAGAAGTCCACCAGGAGACTGGATTAATTCTTAGCAATGAAGAGTAAACTATATAATTCTCCCCTGTGGGATCTCCATAATTCTTTCCAGGTCTTTAGTTAAAATGAATGTATATATCCACAATATTAACATCAAATATGATCTTCCAAACTTAAAATACCTTTGAAAACCCATATTTAAATATCAGTAGGATAATATCACCTGTCATGTGCTCAGTAGCATATAGACCCCTTTAAAATATTCTCATGTTACTTCAAGAATGGACTACCATAACATGTTTCTACCCCAAGGCCTTTTCTCTCTGCTCTGCTCAGCACAGAATAGATTTAGTCACTTAACAAAAAGTAAATCAAAAAATCTTAACTTTTTATTTTGAACATGATAGAACATAATCACTTCAAAGTATAAATCTTAAAAATAGTTCCAAATAAGATTACCGAACTCATGTTGGAAAAAAAAAAAACACACTGAACGAACTTCATCTTCAAAACACATGTGCATAGGTTACTTAGAGATGAACTACCTTCTGCTTATCAACAAAAAACTACTCTGTATTGATATACTGATAACAATTCTTGCCTTCAAATATTTTTTGGATTAAATAATCCATGTAGCAGTAGAGCGCAGTATATTGTTCCACTCTTTTCAGAGTAACCCCAACTGAAGACACCATCTTGACAACTAGTGAATGAATTATTTTATCCCTCTAGTTTCAAAGGAGAAGAGATGCTGAGATCTATTATTAACTGCAACAGGAACTCCACAGTTAGATGCACTGCATTGTCTTAAAATATTGGCTTTTCTAACTGGTTAAAAAAAAAAACAACACAAACATACACACACACAAAAAACCACACCCACACCACATACCATATTGTCTGGGACTCAATCTCCAGAACTAAATATTTGTTAGCAGAGTGCAAAAGTCTACATACCTTCTCCCAGGTATATATTCATTTCTTAACTTCCCAAGCAGACAAATAATTAAAAATATATAAAGTAATTGTTACTGAGAAGTTACTAAATAATTATGTTTATGACGACTATATATTTTTTAGAAGATAAATTTTATGAAATCCAACATTATTGTTGCAAAATTTTCAGCAACACCATGCTGTAAGGAAAAAGTAGGAGAAATCGGAAGATATTATAGAATTTATCATAGTACCATTTTAAACTGTTTACCCCCTATACAAAGTACATTGAAACTGAACTTCAAATGCTTATTGAAGTGGTCAATGAAAATTCAAACTATGTTAACTTTAAATTAGACTACAGTAAAGTACCTGATGAAAGAAATACTGATTTTCCAATTTAATTTAAATAACCCACAATACTACAGGTTTTTTTTCTCTGTGTCAGCCAACAGATATAAGCAGTGAAATACCACTGAATTTCATCAGAAAAAGCAAATACAAAATGAGGAAACTGCTCAAAAGTGAGCAAGCAGTAAAATAAAACAAAACCATACACAAAGACACAGCCTGGTAGCTTTAGCCAATAAAAGTAAAGAAGCATTCTACATATTAATTACACTGAGGTTTTTTTAATCAATGACAAGGTAGAAGGCTCCAATAATCCATTCAACAGAAACTATTGAAATCTTGTTTACTAAAGAGACTGGGATTATACTATTCATACAATTATTATTATTAACACTATTATATTAATGCTGTACTGAATCCATACCTTGGAAGACCGAAAACAGAATGCTGTAGATTTTACATCTGCGTTCTCTTTGTCTGTAAGAAGAAGACTCTTGTCATCCAGGAGACTTAAATATTTTCCTGTTGTTATATGTCTCAGTCTGAATGGCTGTCCCCATCTAATGTGGCTGCCACTCCACCTAAGAAAGTTCATAGGAAACATTTGGTTTTTTAAAAAACAAAACAGTTTAAATCCTGGCAAAAATTGTATTACACATAATTATAACATACATTATATTGCCAACTAGTTAGTAAAAGAATAAAATTTTTTTGAAAATGGTTTTATAAGAGATAAACACAAAGTAGCAATTCTAATAAATAATCTTAACTTCTTCCTTTACACAGGCTGCCTTGGTTCAGACTGAATTCCTCCTGAGAGAAGATTTAGACCGCCTACAGAGAAGGAAGCTTCTGCTGTACACAAAGAGCTTAGATCTGCCAGTTCCCTCTCTAACATTTCATCTACCAGAAGCCCAGTTTGTTCACTCTCTGAGAGCATTCTCCTTTCAGTAGTCAGCATAATTTAGGCTCACTTTGAACAGCGTGCAAAAAATAAAATGGCAAAACAAATGAACAAATACAGAAATAAAAATCCTCAGAAAAACAAATTTTAAAAAATACTAAGCAAAGACTGGCCCACATTCTATACGAGGAAATGAAGGAAACGACAAAGATTTGCTATGTTCCCTAAGACCTCCTCAAATTGAAATATAGGTTGGAGGTTTCTACTTCTTGCCTTAAACAGAAAAGTCAGCTCTCTTCTGCTCTTGCTGATCAACTCCTGAAGACAAACTTGTGTAGGGGTTACTGAGGAGGATGTATTTCACGAGGCTTTTTAAGAAGGCTTCTTGAATATTCCTCAGATTGGAAAATTGCTGCAGCTAGGATGTTTTCCTGGATCTTCATAAAGCTTTCTCCAGTCTTATATCTTCTAAAGTTTACACTTCAGATGTATATGCACACTGCTTTTCGGTGAGGAAATTTGCTTCCACAAATACTAATAGTTCTCTATGCTCACTGTGGTTTCAAATAGCTTGAAATTATCAACAAATGTGTACCTAATATCAGTGAAATACACAAACACATCCTTATGAATTTGACCAGATCATAAACTTACTGCCTTGTCAGAATTTTGTATTACTGACTCTTCTCACTTGCATTTAAAGTAATTCCAGGTACAGTATTTAAAAAAATAAAAGGGTTTACGTATGCTTTGTATATACACTCATGTACCAGTCTAAAAATGCCTTAAGATAGCACTTACACTGGTTTAAGTCATTTTCATTTTCCCTGGCACATATATGCAGCAGATTAAAGCACTTACCTGTTCAATATAAATACCCATTTGTTTAAGCATGTCCTCATAAGAGGTGGCCATTCTGTTTGCCAAGTAGGCAAAACTGATTTGGCAGACATTTTTAAAGTGCAGGAGTTTTTAAAATGCAAGATCAATGCCTGGCTTCTCTTCTTTAACAGGATTTATTACACTTCACTAAATAAACTTCTAATCCTTTTCAATTGTTGGCTTTAAAGAGGCCAAAAGAATGAAGAGGTTTTCCCCTCAACTATTTTCTAAATAATCCCTTCTGTTTAAGTCGAGGGGAGAGGAAGGAAATATGGGAGCTTTATATATTAGAAGTGAATTTCTTTTTTCTGTGTTCTACACAGCAAAGTCAGTATAGTCCACAAAAGCACATCTAAGTATCAGTGTTCTAGCACAACTTCTGCTTCTCAATTAAGTAAAATGTCAGGTCAGGAATCTCAGCTATTGTATTGCTGAGTCTGGTAAAACACAAAGCTCTGCACCTTTCATATTATGGGCCACACTGAGGAGCTGCCTTCTCCCTAGTCTAATTCAAGTTTCACTTGGACCCAATAGGTATGGACCATAAAAAAAAAAAAAATTTAGTGCAATTGAGCCAAGCCCCTAGTTCATACCTGCAGGATAGGAAAAAGGACAATTCATGTGCACTTACTAGAAAAGCCTTTTGAGCAATTGGTATCTTGTGAAGCCATTTCTGACTACTAAAAATCCTTTTCTGCAAGGTGAGAATATGATCCCTGTCACCTTTTGTGAAAGAAAGCAATGTCGAGGAATGCTACCTGACATCCTATGGCAGGGCATCCCAAGAGGCAGTCTGCACATACAGACTGCCCAGGAAATTTTTATGAGAGTTCTCCACTAATGAGGAGAGTTCAGAAATTACGATTCCTTCGGAAGCATAAAAAATCAACAGAATTAGTATTATACCTGCAGTCATTCTGGGTAGAACTAGGACTGATGGAGGACTTCAGGCATGCATATACTAAGTTACAAATTGAAGCATTTGCATGAATAGTAATGTGTCTGCAATTCAATGAATGTATATAGCTATTAGAATATCATAAAGGCAAACAGGGAGGTGAGGGACTTCTAGAAGATAGTGTTATTCTTGGGATTTTTTTTTTTTTAATAAGTCACGTTCCTTAAGAAGATTACTGCTGCCTCTGCTTAGTGGTTTTGACAGTTCTCACAATTTCATAGTCTTGTATGTTCAAATGTTTACACTTCAGAAGTTTGTATACAATGCCTATCAAAGTGAGATATATGACAGTTGTAACAGAAATCTGTAATTTCTCAAATCCTCATGTTGCTCCAGTACCACTGTATGTTAGGGAAGTACATGCAATGAGAAAAATAAAAGCCAGAGATCCTTCCACAATCTCACTGCTGTCACTTAACCACTCTCAAGGTCAGTGTTAGTCCAAAGCAAAAATCTCACTGCCCTATCAATGACATTTAACTTCATCCTATTAAGTAAAATGCACAAACAGAAAACATCATCATTAGAATTTAACCTTTCCCTAAGCTGCCCTGATTTAATATCTAAAAAGCAATCATTGATTAGTCACTACAAAATTTATCAGAAGCACATACTGTAATACAATTTAAGAGAGATTTTACAGTGCAAGTATCTTAACAAGGCACAGTTCTTTACTATCATTCCAAATCTCATGCAAGGTAGCAATTTTTCTGTAAATTTCTGCCTTTAAGGACATCAAACAAGTTAAACAAGTTAAGGGGTGCTACACAAATTATTATAAGCAGAACTGTTTTCCTTAAAAACGTCACATAAATGTTTAAAAAAGACGAATTGTGAATTCACAAACAGCTGTAACAACTTCAAAAAATACTCATAACACACAATCACTAAAGGAAGTTGGTGAAGTTTTCATGAAAGTGTTATGAAGCATTTTTTTAAGATTATTTTAGTGTTTTCTCTCTGGTTTTACAATTATCAATCTGATTTTATAGGAACACTCTTGCTATAGAAAAAGTGCACTGGCAAACTGACTTCTTTTTCTGAGAAAGGTTTACTTACGCAACTCTTAGCGTCTCTAGTCGCCAAAGGGAACGAGCATGAATTGACACAGCACCACCTTCATAGTGGACCGTTCTGAAAACCAAGCAAAGGCACAGACTAAATGCTCAGCTCTGTTGTCAGAATTCCTATTTATTTACAACATTTAAGACTGTCAAAACAATTATTGCAACTGCCAGATTCAAAGGTTTTCATGTTCAAAACCAGCTCTTCTCAATTAAACCTTCAGATCTAGTTACAGAAATTTTATTTTCACTGTCTATACCATTCATTATTGTGATATTCATACTAATGAGATATACAGTGTTTGTTCAGACATCTTTCTTAGTCTTCTAAGGAAAAAGAATTGGGGGGAGGGTGGGAAATAACCTGATAATTACAGTAATTCTAGGTTCTAACAGAAAGCAAACATCAAAAGATGATAAAGATTTGTCATCGCTGCATACGTCTCACAAGAAAAGTAGTGTTTTCTCACAGCTCCTGCATATCCTAGAGGTGATTCTGCCCCTCTACTCTGCTCTGGTGAGACCCCACCTGGAGTGCTGCGTCCAGCTGTGGAGCCCTCAATATCAGAAGGATATTGACCACTTGGAGCGAGTCCAGAGGAGGCCACGAAGATGATCAGAGGGCTGGAGCACCTCTCGTATGACGAAAGGCTGCGAGAACTGGGCTTGTTCAGCCTGGAGAAGAGGAGGCTCCGAGGAGACCTCATTGCAGTTTTCCAGTATCTGAAGGGGGCCTATAAGGGTACTGGGAGAGGACTTTTTACAAGAGCCTGTAGTGATAGGACAAGGGGTAATGGGTATAAATTGAAATCAGGGAGGTTTAGATCAGATATCAGGAAGAAATTCTTCACAGAGAGGGTGGTGAGGCACTGGAACAGGTTGCCCAGAGAAGCTGTGGATGCCCCTTCCCTGGATGTCTTCAAGGCCAGGCTGGATGTGGCTCTGAGCAACCTGGTCTAGTGGAAGGTGTCCCTGCCCATGGCAGGGGGGTTGGAACTAGATGATCTTTAAGGTCCCTTCCAACCCTAACCATTCTATGATTCTATGATTCTATCCAAAAACGCACATATCCGCATGGTTTGAGCAATCCCAAATACAAGTACAGGCTGGGCAGAAAATGGATTGAAAGCAGCCCTGAGGTGAAGGATGTGGGGATTTTGGCTGTTGAAAAGCTCAATATCACCTGGCAGTGTGCGCCAGCAGCCCAGAAAGCCAACTGTATCCTGGGCTGCATCAAAAGAAGCACTGCCAGAAGGATGAGGGAGGTGACTCTCCTCTCTCTAATCTGCTCTTGTAAGATCCCACCTGGAATACTGAATCCAGCTCTAGGGCCCCCCAGCATAAGAAGGACATGGAACTGTTGGGGCGAATTCAGAGAAGGGCATGAAGATTATCAGGGAGCTGAAAAACCTCTCCTGTGAAAGACAGGCTGACAGAGTTTGGTTTGTTCAGCCTGGAGAAGAGAAGGCTCCGGGGAGACCTTATAGCACCTTCCAGTACCTGAAGGGGTGACAAGGAAGCTGGGGGGGACTTTTTACAAGGGCCTGTAGTGACAGGACAAGGGGTAACGGGTTTAAATTGACAGTGGGGAGGTTTAGATCAGATATCAGGAAGAAGTTCTTCACAGAGAGGGTGGTGAGGCACTGGAACAGGTTGCCCAGAGAAGCTGTGGATGCCCCATCCCTGGAAGTGTTCAAGGCCAGGCTGGATGAGGCTTTGAGCAACCTGGTCTAGTGGAAGGTGTCCCTGCCCATGGCAGGGGGGTTGGCAGTAAGGTCCCTTCCAACCCAAACCATTCTGTGATTCTATGAAATCTGAATGCTTCTAAAATAAAAGTCAAACGAGCTTAAAAAAAGGTTGTGGGTGGTTTGGTTTGGTTTTTTTTCCTCCATTATTCTAAGCGATACATATATATTGGATCCACAACTTGGTTTAGATTTTATGGTCAGCAAAAGCCAGTTAAGTAGCCTGGCTTATTTTCAAGGCAAATACTGAGGAATGTGGTGAGCATTAAGCACTGCCACTACAGATTTAAGCAGCTGTTCTTTGGACTGTTTCCTGCCTGCACCTTTAATTCTGCCTCAAGACACTGCCAGAATTTAAAAACCTAGGCCTTTTCTTTGGGGCCTTTTTTTTGGGAAAATGAATAAAGGAGTCACTCAAGCAAAGGAGTGCTGCCACTATGCTTATCAGATCAAGCGTGTCAGGGAACACTGCCAAAGACAGACCTAGTTTTATGGATTCTGGAAGAGCTTATGGATTGAGTATAAATTGTGATCTTCAGCCAAGATCAGGCACTGCCAAAAAAAGCCAGAGGCATCACTTCAGGGAATCTTAATACTGATATTGTAGGTCTTTCTCATTGTTTATCAGAAAGTATTTTTTGAAGACCCCAATTTTGGAATCAGGTACCAAGTACTCACTAGGCTTTAGCTTCCAAAGTCCTCCTGTGGATATAATACAGAGGGAGTGAAGGCTTGTCACAGAAAAAAACCCAACATTCAAAGAGGTGGTTCAAAATCAAACGAAATAGTTAATTAGAATATAGTTCTCTGTTCTATTAAAAATAGATGAAAACTACAGATGTGCTCAAATTCATCTTGGAATATGCTAAAAAGTATTAAGGAAATAAACACTCCCAAACAAATTATAAAGGGGGAAAAATGAATCAAAATAGAAACTACTACAATTATGGAACCAATTACACTGAATATTCATGACCCAGGTATAAAAAGAAACTGGCACATGATTCATGTACATGAAAGAAGTTATAGGTGCATATATAAATATATATAAAATCCTCCCCGTGACCTTCTACCCAGTATTTTCTGCACATATGGTCTTAGTCATTTGTGGCAATGATTGTGGTACTAGGAGCAGCTGACAGGTTTTAGTAAGCCTCTCATCTCCCTCAAAGAATGGAATGAAATTCAGAGTCAATCTTACTTTTCACTGAAATTGACCTTTATTCTTATAGTAGAATGCAAATGCTAAACAATCTTGCATTCAGCTGCTTCTCTGTTCAGACACTCACCCTTCTTGTCAGACATCTTAATCAAATTTTTATTCTGAAACTAACATGCTCTCACATCTAAACAATAACAGATCATATCTCACCCTGGTTGGTTTTTTTGGGTTGGGTAGGGGTGGGGTTTTTTCGGGGGGGAGAGAGGGGAGGGGAGCGGTGTGTTGAAACGTTCTGAGTACATCCTGGCTTATTTCAATATGAGCATTGCTGAAAAATGCATTCAGAATTCAAGCACTCACATAATACAACATTTAACAATTTTATTCAGCAGTTTTCTAGGCATTAAATGCATGAGAAATGAGGTCTAAGCTAAGCAAAGGCTTAATTTAATCAGAATATTTGATTTTTCAGATGGTACCTTGTTACTTTTCAGGGATGAGTTTTTTTTCACACAGGAAGTCTGGAAACTGTCACCAGTCTCTCAGAGTACTCTTTGGAAGCTAGATTTGGATTACACATAGCAGTTGGATCAGATTCATTTTAAGTATCTAAAAACCCTCCCATTGTGAACTTAAAAGAATGGCTTCTCATGGGTGAAGTAGTTTCCTGTTATGTGACTGTCCATCCCTTATTTCCTTTCTCTGCATTTTCTGAGGGGAGCTATAAGCCTCGGAATGGTCATGGGAAAATGGGAAAGAAATAGAAGAGAAGAAATCCTAAATAAACACATGCAATTTGTTTATGAAAAGAAATAAAAAGGATCCTGGGATTGTGCCTTATTTGCATATGAATTAATGGGTACAGTAGCAACAGCAGGAGTGAAGGCAGAAAGACAGTGATAGCACTTCAGGGATAAAAGTCAACAAGGCAGCAGCAAACCCTCAGCAAAAGAATAAGTGACAGCAATCTGGAGCCAGACAAAGAAGGAGCTAGGGACTACAGGGCTAAGGATCAAGGAACCCTACAGGGAAACAAAAGGAAAAGCCCAGAGTTTGGGGTCAAGGATGGAAGAAGATTTTGTATGGACAAGAGAGAATATACAAGCTACAAAAAAAGCAAGCTGGCACAAAGCACTAGAACAGTGCGTGAGCTCTTATGTCTTTATCTTGATACTGTCTTCTCTATGGAGAAGATGGTAAAGAAAAGGTGGCTTTTAATAAGAGACATCTCTCCTTTACTGAAGGGCCCTTGCAAGCTAATCATTGCCTTAGAGCAGCTGAATAAATTCATTACCTAGACCATCTCATACTTTTTTGTCTAAGAAATCCTAAGGGTTTTTTTACCTCCTTTCATTACAATAAATGTAGTAAACTGCTGTGATTGCTCAAACCAACTTCCTTAGTACTTGCTTGATATAAAAACATTATTTGATATGATGCACTTCATTGCTTTTTATGTACTCTTGGCAATAGTTCAGTGCTGAAAAGAAGTATGATTCATAAGAACTTTATTCTTCCTGAAACTGACACTGGTAAGCCATAGCAGATACTGATATTACTAGGTCAAATGAAACATTGTTTTTAATGACGTGTGAATAAAGTACAAAAATTCTATGACTATCGAAGTTATTGCAGATTTACACTGATAGGATGGAAAAAAAACTTGAGTTGTGAAGTGCACAGAAGACACACTTTACTTGCCAAACAGTAGAGAAAACCTATGAATTGAAAAAAAAATTACATTATAAATAATGTATATTTATGAAGAAAGTACAAATAACAGCAGAAGAGGGCAACAAGAGCTACAATGAGTGTTAGTCTTCCTCTAGAAAGCTCAAGATACCTTATGCCTTCTGAGCCATATCCGTAACAGTATTCCTGATGACTTTTTTCTTCTATTCTTTTCAATACAATTTGTTTGCATACTCTACATTTATGAAGTAAGGATATTATCTGCTTTTGTTTCAAAGGAAAGTATCTATGGAACCTCTGCGAATTTTCAGTTCATCTTTACTATAAAACTTCATCTAGCTAATTGGTCGGTGTAACGCAGTTATTTTTGGTCCGACCTACGTCCGTAAGTTAAAATTCAAACATCATTCTTTCCCTGACCGTCGTTAATCTGTTTAATTTCCCCGTCATACAAAGAGTCACCAGGGCTGG